TTCTGTCAACATTAAGTTTTTTTTGGACTCCACTGCTGCTCCCTTTTATATTGTAAACGAAAGCAAAAGTTCGATCAACATCATTAACAAAGACATAAATTAGGCATAAATCATTCTACATGTGACCTAGCTCTGCATTATTCTCTCTCCGCTGCTCCTCTATTACCCATACTGTTTCTCGTCTCCTTTGAAACGAGTTTACGTATAACCCAACCTTTGCTACGACTCTGCTCTATGTCCCAACTCCAACGCATGTCGTAATGCATTCGAACTATTCTCTCCATATAACCTAGCTCTGCCATTTACTCTCTCCATTACTGCTACGAACCCCGTAATGTCTCTACGACGGAGCTCTGCCCCATCTAATAACGCCCAACTGCCTCTCTCTCTCTTGCAATATTAGCACAAACTCTAACAGCATTCAAACTCTTCTCCCTGTTGCTCCTCTACCCTCCCAATAAACACGTGTCGCTTGTTTGCTTACCTTGCGTCTTGAGGAATTCCTCATAGCAGTCTGTGACTGCTGCGGGGCGGTCTTGATGGTACTTGACATAGAAGTCCTTATACGCTTCGTATGCATCGCTGACATCCTTCTCAGTTGCTTTTGGGTTGTGGTCTTTAAATTTAACGGCAAATTGCCATTTTTCCAGTGGGTCAACGTTCATAGCATCCATGTCTAAATGTTTTTATGATTTAGTGAATGGGTGTAAAGAAGAGTCGCGATCTGGCTCTGCGCCGCTCAACCTCAGCCCTGTTTATAGTTTTACTTACACAAACATGTGATACTTCGTATTGAAGCGCCGAATCAACTATTGTTGCGGGGTACGGTTCACTTAGAAAAATAGATCGGGAACCCTCCATGCCTTTGTCAGAGACAGAAGACAAAGGGGAAAACCCATTTATACGCTCCTTTGCATATCACGTTGCCGTACGGCGGAACAATGTTTCGTATTGTTGTATGCCCGCAGGCGCAGTAACCACATGACTATGACAAAATACCGGAGCGAATAATGCGATCTTGTAATCCTCATACATTCGTTTGGGTTGGAACTAAATGAATAAATTAAGTATAAGCATTCTTTCCGCTCCTTGTTAAAACTCACTTGCTTGACGAGACTCGTATATTACTACTAACCCTAGGGACTTAGTATTAGTGCATAACCCGATAATGTGAGAGGGCAAAGCCCGCTTCTCTTGCCTGTCTGACAATTTGGTTGCCCGATTACTATTACTATGGCAGGGAGTTTTAAACTACCACCGCATGCTGCATACATTTCATGTAGATCAATTAGGAGGAAGCTCATTAAATGATCGTACAGATGATACTGAGCATTAAAAAAATCAAATTTTTATGTGGCAACCTGACCCAGAGGTCAGATCACGTGAATATGATGCAGTACAAGCTACAATAATATAATCAATATCATCCCAACTCAGTTTCGAAATTGTGAAAGCTGAAAATGACTTTACACACGATATTCTAGATACACCTATATTTTCAAAAAGTTCGTATATCTTTCTCGCTCTTTCTCTTTTTTTATAAAGCGTAGTATCACTAATACCTTTAGAGAGTTGTTCTCTAACCTCATTATTGACCAGGATAAGCGATGCGCGTTCTCGATTGGATTTTTTATAATAATTTAAACGATCCAGCAAACCTTTACCGAAACTGAAGTAAGCTCTTATTACATTTTGGCTTGCGTTGACATTATGAGTTTCGGCATTAACAATTTCATTATATAAACGGACAAAGTCGATGGAGTCTGATGATGTAGCTTGTGATGAAGGCGAAGTTATATTTGTATCCGGAACCTTTTCTGCTGTCAATTCTTCGATTAATTTTTTCACGATAGAAGACTCTCGTTTTTTATCAGTTTTTTGTCTCTTTACGGGATTTTTTTTGTCGGATATACCTTTCTCGGGAACGTTAGCACGCTTAGATGGTAAAATGGAAGAGTGTTCATTAGGCGTTTCATCCGCTTCTATTGTGTCATCTGATGAGTCGGGAACTCGAGATGCGAAAGCATCTTCGCTCCGGTCGTACGATCGCGAGAGTTCTGCTTCCTCCTCAGGAATCTCTTGGAATAATGGTGAATTGAGCTGATGTTGATTGGGCATCCTTCTAACTAGTGATAAAGTAGTCGACTGGTATAGTTGAGAAGAATCTCGTTCAACAGGTATAATGGTTGAATCGGAGACCCATTCAATCTCTTGTTCGCATTTGGGACATTGTGAAAGGATTTTTACATGTTGTTGAAGACAATTGTAGTGAAATATATGGGAACAGGTAAGTACGGTGAAGGATTTTTGTAACCTATGCAAAAAAAGTTCTTGATTACATAATAAGCATGGATCAAGTTCTGGAAAGTTAACAATTAGTCATGGAATACGACGCTACATTTATACCTGTATTATTTTGGTGCTAATTCGAGCAAAATCTGTATGAATAGCATTGATTCATTTTCTCTGAATGCGCGCATTTGTTCTTTCATCTGGTACTAATAAATGTTAGCGATCACAATATACAATAATTATGATAATTAACGTAAGATTTACAGATCTAAAATTATATCAGCGATCTTTGACCAATAAAATTAATTGACTCAAATACACTGCGTTTTGACAAAATACAGTATCAAACAATTTACCTGCGTTGCAATGGATTTACATTATTTTATCAACCGTATGTGGCATTGGTCCTTTACGTCGAAAAGTAGTAAATTATCGGCGATCACAATATATGTTATTAATAGCCGTACCACTCTGAAATGTAAAGATCTACAGGTAATCCTTGCCCCTTTACCTGCTAAAAATCAATTACTTGGGTCTTCCATTTATAACTGAATGGCAAATCGAAGCGGAGCCGCAGAAAAACAGTCCGACGTTATACTCCGGAGAAGTTTACTGTGGATCCGAAGCACTATTTTCAATTCTATAATAAGGTCAAATACGATCATATTATTGACAGGGGGTTAACAATAGGCGTAAACAGCTACACAGTTGAAACCAAAGCGATATTTAATATGAAGAAGTATGTATTAATAACATCGGATGCAAATCTAATTTTGGATTTCGAATTTTTTTGTGGCACAATATAAAAAATAGAGTAGACATCCCCTATAATAAAATTGTCGGAAAAGTAATCGGAGGATTAGTAGTTATACAAGTCAATGATTTCAGCTGCTTCCGCCACTGCATCTGGTCTGTCACTGAATTGAAATGGCGTTACCTTATCTGGAGGTACTCCTCTTGGCCTGTAATTCACGACAACATAGTTCTGCGCCGGAGATATGTTATTATCAGGGCTGTGTCTTAATGCCTCTTGGGCAATTGTCATGGCGTGAGCTAGGTTTTTGGCTCCATGCGCTACGATGGCATATACTGCGCCCATTTTACGTAAATAACACGGAATAACTCCATACGATTTTAAGAATCTATTGAACCATTTAACTCCTGGCTTACCTGGATCACCCATTCGGCCAGACGATATAGCATTCTGTACCCAAGTGAGTAGTTCCTTAGCTCGTTCTTGGTTCTTCTCCATAGATCTAAATTTTCTAGGAATATCTGGTTGACCCCTGTTCTTGGCATAACCTGTTACTCCGGCATTGGTAATGCGTAAAGTTATAAGCTCAGCGGGACGGATACAAAGCATTATCATAACATCTGCGAGAGCTTGTAAGTCGGGTAAAGTCTTAATATCGTATCCATCCAATCTTTCCTTAACCGATTCTAACGTAAAATGATCTGGGTAATCGATTTTTTTTAAATCCTCAGCGATTTTTCGCCGACTTGCCTGAATTTTATTAGACTTCTCTGTAATTTCAACGGTTTTTGTCGCTTCAACTATATTATATGGAGCATTAAGATTTCGTAATTCTTTCCGAAGCCGGGAAAGCCTAGAAGACCCAGTAACTTCATTCAAAGCCGACTTAGCTAACTTTATTGCTTCAGCCTTTACATCCTTTTCACCAAGCTTATTTCGTAAAATCCGTTGTGCTATCTCTTTGATGGTTTCCTCTGATTTTACCAAGGCCTTGTCTAGAGTTACGATATTTATATCTTTTCGCTGGCTTTTTCTCTGAGTAGGAATTAATATGCTTACCTGTTCCTCACTGAATTTGAAACCATCTCGAAGACGTCTTCGTGCTTGATTCCGCTTTCTATCATCTGTAAGCTCTTTGAGCAATTCAGAAGTATGCTTACTGAGCTCAGATACACTCATTCCTGGGTTAAGATTGTACTTTCCAACGATTCTTGTTGTAATAGCTGACATTTCGATTATATTCACTTTATTAGGTTATACCCACTTTGCTAGGTTATATACTATGTAAAATATTCTTTCAATTCGAAATTAATTGAAATTAAGAAAGAAAAATATAAACATAAATAATAATACATGGATCGCGTTACCTGTCCGCATATAAAGAGGGATGGTTCTATTTGTGGAAAAAGTTGCTGGCGAGTCACAGGGTGTTCGTTGCACTGGGCTTTACATGATAGGAATATAGCGAAATTTCCTTGCGGAATCTGTGGGAAACTAACAATTTCTGGAACGGGGTATTGCCCTAAACATGCGAAGAGAATTTATTTTCGAAATTGGTATGAGAGACAAAAGGCGCAGAGAATAGAAGCAGATGAATAATTATACTCACTTTTACCGAAGGTAGTCACTATATGACTATAGATGTCAGTTTTAAGCGTACAAAATGGTCTTCGTAATGGATTTTTTTACAAGTATCATTTTTAAGCGTCACAAAAATTCCTTTGTAAAATATACCACGGACTCTAAATACTTGTTTAAACGATATCGAATAAGTCCTGAGTATTTTGTGAGATAGAATTAGGAGGCGGTTCTATTTCATCGGGTGAGAGTTTACTGTACCCATATCGCCAATCTTCCCCATTCACCCAATCTTCACCTGTTTGATATGGTGGTAATTTGGGGGCATCCTCATCGTCAAATGCTCCAACTAGATGATAATGGGTATGCTTGTTATTTGTACCTTTGAGTTTCAAACCGTAAGTTGAATAAAGTGCCGAATTTAATAAACCAAGTTTTGCTCTAAGAGTTTTTAATCCAGATTTTTTGGCGCGTCGGGATGCATCTGTATTATCGAAAACTCGAGCCATTTTAGGAACTAATTCTTGGAGATATTTTATAGATTCAGGTGATTCTAACCGTGTTTTAACAATATCAGCTTTATATTTATTTCTAGCATCGATATCTTTAACGGGCGTACAAATTTTTAATAATTCACGACAAATTCGATGTTTTTCAGCTCTAGTAACAGTTGCAAGCCTATCATTTCTATAATCTTCACGGGTAATTGCCTCAACTGCTGTCTCATTATTAGTGCCTGCATCTCGTAATTT